GCGAGAGATCGTCGATCGATAAAGGCCGTTTCACTCGTACGGCAAAGAGACCCGTGCCGTAAAGATAAATATATTATTCGAACGCGGTTAAATACAGAGAGAGAGAGAGAGAAAGAGAGCCGATAAATGTGGTTTTATCCGTCACCGACGGCCGTCGTACGAATTGCGACGAAACACCGGATGCGCCGCATCGTCGATGCACCGACCGTATCGATATACATTTTTTATCGATGCACACTCCGATGTTAAACGACTAATCGTACGTTAATGACGATACGGGGGCATAAAACAGAATGACGATAACGCGAGCGTTCGTGCTTGTTCATTGGGTGCTGCGCGACGCGCAACGTAAGGTAAAATAATGAATTAGTATCTCGTTAGTCTATGACTGATTGATAATTCTAAGCTACGAGCAAAAAACTATTACGAGCGACGTTCCATCGCTGACGATCGAATATCGCTCGGCGATATTCACATCGCTGTTCGACACCGCGACGTCCTCGGCAGAAGGTGAACGGGATTTAGAACATGGAAAAATGAATTAGCCCCCGTAGCTAAAAATTAACTGTCTAACTGAATAATACAACTGAAGTTTAATTAATTTTTCGTCGCAGTTTTTAGCTCATACGGCTAAAAACTAAGTCCGTCAACTAAATTCCAATTGTATCATATGGACTGCTAATTCCTTATTTCACAAAAGAGAAAGAGAGACGGAGGGAGATAGGGTCTGGATTAACTAGAAAATCTCGCGCTGCACGCGCGCCAGTCCGGAAGTGCCGGTGTGCAATCCTCGCGAGACAGGATACATAAGTAGGCTTAGGAAACGGTGGCTGCATCGGGAAGAAAATAGCGAAACGGGAATGGACTTCGCGGAATTGACATCCGAAGCTCGAAGATCAGTGATCACGGAGCGAGGAACGAGAGGGATCGCACTCCACGTGAGTACTCTCACGAATCGGAAGGCGGTCTAATTTTCCGCACGCGAGTGATCCGACGGCACTCGAGCGCGCTCGGACGAGAAAACGCTAATGAAGGCGGGAAGAAGAAGAAGAAGACGGCTGGCTCCTGGCGATAGTTAGTGGAAGCGATCATGATGAAAAAGATGATCCCAATAAGAATGATTTAAGCCGGTGGCCGCGAATCGTTATCGGCGTTCGCGCGGCACCACATCAAAGCGGTTCGTGCGCCCTCAGCGAAATTGCCCAAGAACAAGCGGAAACGGTGGTTAATCGCATCAAACCATGCCTCGAGAGGCGCGGCAATAATTAATGATAATAATCATGCCCGATGTATTAATACCGGCGAGAATTAAGGTTGCGCACATTGTCGAGAATCGCGGCAAACTGTACCGGGCGCTTTTCATCTTTCGTTAATGAATACCTCGGACTGCTATTTATAGTCCGATTTTATGTTTAAGATTGTCTTAGGTTCATCTTTAGATGCTTCATAGCAAACGAAATGCAGCGTCTGAAAAGGAACGATCTTAAATATAAGATCTGACTATGAATGTCGGCTTTAGTTTCAGCTTAACAAAGAAGCTTGGTTAAATAACAATATGATTTCTTCCTCGCAGTAAATAGGTATTTAAATAAATACGATACGCATAATTATTTATCGCGTCGTGCAAATATTCGCAGTGACGGTCGTACATGCGAGGGAGTATTTTTCGTCGAGACGGCCTCGCCAGGCGTTGATTAAGAGGCGGAAAAAAGCGTGCAAAAGCAGCGATCGAAATCAATGCGGAGGGAAGACGCCCGAGAAAATTATTATCATCGCGCACATGTACGTACACACATCGTCGTGTTCCTGCGCGTGTGATTTTTGCCGCGGCGAAACTCATCGACGCGTGATAAAGATTGCGTACGTACAGAATCTAATTACGCGATAAACATTGTTGCGCCGCTACACCTGCTCGTAAATAATATAGAATCAAACGCGTATCAGGTTACATCGTAATACACCCGGGCCCCGTGAAACCCGGGTATCCGAAGCCGCCCGTACTCTCCACGTCCTCTCACCAAGGACGAGACGCGGAATCATCATCGTTGATTATGAATACCGTCGTGCCAAACGGAATGGAGGTAATCAAAGCAATTTACAACTGCGAGTTATCAAATGTTAATTCTTTCTTCGTGCGCGCAATCACCTCCTTTCAATGCCAGATCAGAATTCTTGGACGAGAAACGCGGAACGTCGCGGCATACCATCTGGCCTCCGATTGCTTTCGCCGATTTTCAATAACTCTCTTTTTTTCCTTTTCGTCTAATGTAACCACGATCGCGAGAGGTTCGCGACGCGACGCTCACTCCTCGAGGCGAGAAAGGATTTTCGTCGATGATGGGCGACGATAAAAGACTGACAAATCAAATTCCACGCCTAAGTTCGCTTTATTCGTCACGGTTTCTGTGTATTATGTGATTCAATGACTTGCGACATCGCGCAAGATTACGGGGAACATTTATTCACACGCCGGCCGAGAGCTAAGACGATATCAAAAGATAAAGTTCTTTTTTTCTTCTTCGTTCGAGCTGCGTGTATTTACCGTTGCAATATTCTTCCTTTTTTCATAATATTAGTGTTACTCTAACGTAATAAAGTATAGAGAACGGAAGGGGAGATTTATCATAACCTCGATATCGAGCACTCGAATACGAGGAATACATAGTCGTCGTGCAATTGCCATAGATTAACCATGTCGGCGATACAGATCACGGCGATACGCACTTTTATCGATTGTATCTAAAGTCTGGTGATTTTTTTCACCTATCTCACTAATGCTTATCGCGGCTGATCAACGCCCATTAATGACATCTTCCACGTTATTAATACTCTATTTATCGCGCCGCATATCGTAGCGAACAAAGGAGACTCGTGTAAAAGTAATATTACGTTTCTTTATAACAGATCCACACACCAAACGCCTATTTAGCTTGATCAGTATTTTTCCCTCCTTATCATATCGCATCTAATATATATCAGACATATTTCCCAATAAGTTTCGTTAGAGCTCACCGGTGACTACATTACAAAAATAACGATTTGATAAACTATCAATGATAATAGCAGGTACACGATACATCATGGGATCACAATGCATCACACTCGTTTCGAGAAATGAGACGGATGTTTCGACTGTAAAAGTACCAATGCCTGGACATGTACTTCATTCGGCATTTTGGCCTTGAAATATATTCGAATATTCAAGCTTTCAGCATAGAATATACGTACATATATTGAATATATATAAATATTTTATATTTTGAGATTAACATTCGTATTTAAACGACGAGAATGTTTAGAATTCGGTACGCGTCCAGGCATTGGTACTTTCACCTTAGATCCCTCGACGGATCGATATCAAACGATTCGCCACGCTGTGGAATTCGATGTGGACAGATCACTATTTGTTGTGTGTATTATCATGCGATACCGGCGAAGAAGACTTTTTATCTGTATGTGTCGCGCGATTGTTGACGAGCCGGCGAGTGAAGAGGAGATACAAACGACACGTGCAACAACCGTGAATCGCGCGGATTTACCGGTAAACGCACCGTTGCTATTAATAAAGCCGCGTGTGTTGCACGTAATTAATAACAGCGTCGGGTCGCGGTATGGTAATTATCGCCGATACGTGTGATATGGCTGCTTAAACTTCGGTCCCTCAACCTAGACAGCTGATTTTGCTCGATAGCGGACCGCTAACGTGCAACGATTAGTCACCGTGAGAACGTCACACTATCTGATCGGAAATATAATCTGGATATTGTATGCGCTCATTGCTTGCCATTCGTGTATCTCGGGAGCAATAATACAGTCGGATGAATATCGGTTACTCTCTCAATTTCCCGGGGCGAAAATTCATCCGCAAAGTCAAGTGACGGACGAGTCACTCGAGTGACTTTCCACTCGTGTAGAATGAATCCTCCATCGTCGAGTAAATCTGACGTATTTCACTGTCACGTGGACAAGTTCAGCCTAATCGATTGAAACATTCACTCGTACGGAGTCGGAATCCGTTCTAAGCATTCACTCTCGCGCGGTTTCGAGAGGCGGTATTTTCACTTCGAGTGAAAATGTCGCCATTTTTCACGAGCGAGCATCGCGATGAAGGGATATATCGCGGCAATACCCATCGTCTGAACAGTCGGCTAAATCTCGGGACCTTTCTTTCAAGATAAATTCTCATCGCGAGCATAAGCTTAGTCGAGACTGGCGGTTCAGCAGATGCGTTTGGCAAATGTAAAATCCGGCCGTTTCATTCCTCGCGATTGGGGGAGACACATGATCTATACAATGCCGGGATGCACAATGCAACCGTGGTGAACAACAATGCAGCGCGGGGGCGTCGTGACGGTAGACCGCGTTGACGAACGTAACGTTTTCCACAAAATGCTCGACTTTCGTGGCCATTGGCGTGTACGAAATGACGTTCGAGCGAATACTTTTCATGACTTAGCTGATTGTCCAAGGATTGTCGAAGGAGCGGTAAATATTGTCGTGCAATATTTTTCGGTCGATCGAAAGATTCAGATAGATATATATCTGCGTACAGATCCGCGCTCATTTTGACACGCTGGATCTGTTATTTATAATAATGCCATTAGAGCTCTAGATAAGTGATAATGCGCCGGTTTAATTTATGCTCTCTCGACGAGATTAGGCTGTTACGTCACTTGGCTTACGCATCAATCGGCTTCAACGTCCACATTCGAGCAAAATTTTATCGAAAGTTGGCCGAGAATTACGTAACGCGCGTACGACTACGGGGACCTGTTGAAATTTTCCAGGTGAAAATATAAGAATCCATGGAAATCCATATAAGAAATTCAATAGGAATTCATATGTGAATTGTTACCTAGGATCTGGCCCTCAGGGACAAGCATGAAATTTCGCGTGGATTTCCTATATGGTTTCCCAGTGTTTTAACGATTGTCCGCAGTTATCGTAATAATATCGGTTGCTTGGGTTCCTATATCGAATGCAATTCGCTGGACTCTCACCCGAGGCTCCCCGAAGAGGCCCCGAAGGACTGCCGCCGGTGGAGACGCCCTCATCTTCGCTGCTGCTGGTGCTGGCTTCACTGGGGCTGTAACTTCGCCTGCTCACGTCTCCCCTGGTGATTTTCTGGCCGCTCGCCGTACCGTTGTTGTTGTCGTGCGTCCTAACCTGAAGCCTCTCGTGCATAGTCCTCACGCGCGAGTGCAGCCTTTGCTGCTGTAGGGAGCCAACGGAGAAGTCGAGCGGCTGATCGATCTCCGATTGCCTCTGCACCTGGCCACACACCAAACTCTGCGGCTGGGATATCGGTTGCTCCTGGTGAACACCAGTGGTGGGCGGACTCCACCATTGATTCGGCCGCCAAGGCTCGATGGTATTATTGTTCGTGGGGCTGGTCTGCTTCTGCTTCTGCAACGACTGCTGGGACTGCTGTTGCTGCTGCGCCATGACAACCTCGACCAAGTTGTTGTTCTCAAGTAAATGCATACTGGGGGTCTGCGTCATCGATGCTGGCAGAACGAAGGGGGAGAGTCCTACCGACGGTGGACTGGCCTCCTGACGCTGTCTGTGGTGCTGCTGTTGACGATGGTGATGCTGCTGTTGCTGCGGTGAGCTCGCAGGCACTACCACCGGAGGCGGAATCGGCCGGACGGTACGCGCGGCCTCCGCGACCCACCGGCGCACCGCCTCGCTGTCGAGGCCCGCCAGCCCTGCGGACTTCGCTTTCGACTGGCCTCCGGGCGATGATAAACCCTTGTCGGGTATCAGGCCGGGCAGCGCGAGGACCCCGGTGCCCGCCACCGCGACCCTGGGTCCCGAAACGCCCCCGTAGGCAGCCAACGCCGCGAGATCCAACGTGGTCGCCTGCTGGGTTCTACTTTTGACGAAGGATCGCGCCAGTTCTCCTTTACTGATAACTCACTGTACTATTTCATCGCTCGTTCGCGTACGTGGGAAATATAGCCGCGGTTCCAACACGATTCTCTTGTTCAGTCAATGTCTCGGATTCTTCGACAACACAGTCCACTAAGTCCACTCAATGCACCGATCCACACGATGCGCGTATATTCCAGCAGTTAAACTATCCGATACACGATACCGCGCGAAACACCCATCACAAGTGCATCTCGACGATCGCAGTGTCCCAGAGCACGTGAACACCGTCATTCGCGACTGTCATTGATGCGCCGGCTGGTCATCAACGAGCACTACCTCGGCGTGCATGAATGATCGCGAATTCACTCCGCACCGATTCACTACTTCCCGGGCAGTTGCGAATAACACGTGACGATCCGTCAGGTGAAAAGCGCTGCAACTATTCGCAGGCACGCTTGGAACGACGGCGGTAGCTGCGGCGGTCAGATGCTGTCGCGTGCATGTGTGCAGCTACACTAGAGGACTCATGTACACCCGCCTGGCCGCCTACCGGCCACGGCAAACGCGTATGCGAACCGGAGTAACCTGAGGTGGGGGAGTCGTTAGGTCTCTACGGCGGAAAGAGGAGAGAGCGAGTTGTCGCCGCTGCGATGGACAAGGAGAGAAGCGCGGAGCGAAAAGCGTGGCCGGCACAACCTGGGGACGGCGGTCTTGGTGGGGCAGCGAAAGCGTCGGTGGGGAACTCTCCTTCCAATCGCAGGGAAACGCGGATCGCGAGCGGCTCCGCCCGGCGAGGCAGAGGCGAGTTCTCCGGAACTCGCGAGAGTGCATCTTTTTCACCTGGCGCGAGACCAGCGGGAGAGAGAGATTTGCATATGCAACGCTCGCGTCCAATCGCCGCACTACCTACCCTACCCCGCGAAGATGATGACGATTAGACCTTGATACTTAAGGACCGATGCTTCGAAGAATTAACTCGATTCCGCCAATCCGGTTCGCATACTTCTTGCGGAGACCGAGCGCGCCCGGTGGATTATCGGGAACCTTCACTGCTCGAGAAACATGCCAATCGATAAATGTTCGCTGCAGAGCGGCCGATCAAAATGTGGAAAGGCACCGGGGAGAGAACGTACGATCGCGTAGTACGGGATATAGTGCGGTTGATGCGGACGTAGGGAGGCTTCTCGCGCCGGACCACCCACATAAACCCCTATCGCTGCGGCCGCAATCGGGGTAGTCCGTCGGATAGCAAGCGTGATCACGGGAAATTTTGCATCGCCTTTCGGACACGAGGAGATATCTCAGTGTCGCTCACGTTATTTCCTTTCTTTATAAATGAGGAGTATGACATCAAATTTATACGTCATTCGCGGAATTATAGAATTTGTTTGCACATCCGTGACGTCACACAATTTGTTACTCTAATCTCTCCCAATTGCTCAATATTTGGGAAGGTATTAAGGATGAACATCCGAGGATCTTGACAAACACATTAAGATTTTTCCCTCCGGAGATCTTGGGAACATACCTGGGGATTGTGTTACGGTTCGATGACGTCGACGGAATGGCAGCAGGTGGGTACGGTTACAGGTTCAGATCGCTGGTAAGGGCGATCTGCCAAATAATGTGATTATTGTGTCGGCCTAAGGTATGTTTCCGCCTTCAGAAAGACCTACCAAAACGTCACCAGTCGTATATACTGTGTGATTCGACGTTATCTGATCATCATTATTCTTATAATTATTACCGCGCATAAACTCTGCCGATATTCGAAATATAAATAATGCAATGCTTATATCTACAACATTTTGTTGCAAATGGTTAAATATGATAAATTATATCACGTCAAGTTTACAATATACACTTTAGTGATACTCCAACTGCTACTCGACATGACTTTTCGTCCGTTTCGAAATATTAATAGTGACATCGCGCACACGAGACGATACGAACGTATATCGTGAAAATATCGACAGGGGTGGTTGGGCTTCCATAAACCCTCCCATCGGCCGCCATGTCGGGTACCTCTCTCCGCTATCATATTTCCATACAAATCCATCCAGCCTCACCACTCCCAAGATTTGAATTCAGCATGCGCAGTGCCGGTGCAAAAAATAAGGCGCTTTAAACTGGCCCTTTTATTGGTCGCGCGAACCGTAGCACTCCCCCCACCCTCGCGTTGCACACACATAGGCGTCAGTGCCTTTCTTCTTTTTCTTATCGCGCTATCATATTTCCATACAGCCGACATCCTCCACCACCACCGTCGCATCGCCACTACCACCACCGCCGTCGCCGCCGCCGCCTCCACCACCACCACCACTATCGTCGCTTCCACCCCTACTTCCACTCGATACCTAGCTCGCCCAGATTTGAATCCGGCATGCGCAGTCCTGCGCGCAAAAAGGGCGCTTTAAAGAGGTTCTTATTGGCCATGGGAACGCCATCCCCCACTCCTTATCGCGTGTACCGCGTACCTCACATCACAAACGCAGCCTTCCTCTTATCGTGCCAACCACCCTCTCGCCCCGAACTTTCGTCTTCCTCGTGCTTTTCCTCTCCCGCCGGCTCTCTCTCGTTCCTTCGTCCTGGTCCCCACCAACGCCTCTCTCGTCCTTCGCCTCGCATGCCAGACCGGATACATAGGAAGGGGCAACCCCTACCGCGGTTCCGCCACCCTCGCGCCCGTGGACACGACGAGGACGGAAATGATAAGGGAACAGAGACGACGACAGCGAGGGAAAGAAGAGAGAAGGAAACGGAGAGAGGAGAGAGCGAGCCGGTATTGATTTTAATGACGCCCCTACCGACGCGAAGTCACGAGAGAGGCGCGAATAATATGTACGCGCTCTGATTCTAATAGCCGGCTATTATAAGTGCGTGCAAATAAATTTCCCTGGCTGAAGAGGAGATGCGCTCGAAACATTCCGTGGTCATAATTGATAACGCCCGGCGAGAGACGCTGAAAGTCGTGCTTCCGCGTTCTCACGATTCTCCCCGCCGCGAGAGCCACTCCAAGGAGGAAGAGGAGAGTCATACTCGAGATGCGTTCGCAATGTCGCGACAACGTCGTCCCTATCTCGCGATGTCGCGTCGTCTTCGATTGTTAAAATATGAATTATTGAAACGCCCCGCGACATATGTGTGCGGGATGGAAAGAGATCTCTCTCGTTCGGCGATGAAGGGTGAAAACACTTGCCGTGTAAAATCAAGAGGATCAAGTGGCGTTACCATGGGGGACGCATTCAAATATCACGGACGGGCCCCTAATCTGAATAAAGTGGCGAACCCTTTCCCCTACGCTGCGGACCCTCTTTTTTATTCATCGCGCGCAGGTATTTGCATGGGCCAGCTACTGACAGCAGGTGCCGAGCTCCCCCTTCTTCATATTCAATAGAAGAGAGCGCACCTATATGGAAATAGATAGGTACCTGTCTGGTAATGTGCACTCCACGACGGAGAAGGGTTGATCCTCACCACTGATTCGGCACAGGTGAACCGTCTACCTGATCCGCCACTGTTACGCGGACGATTGACTTCTTTTAGAGGAAGTGTCGCCGTTTTTAAATAATTTCCCGCAAATTGTCGTATTCGAAAAAAAAGAATCCAATGCGTTTAAATAAAATAAAATCTCGTTATATATATATATATAAGAGGAAAAAATAAAAATGTGTGGAAAATACAAATTTATATTTTATACCGCATATTACAAAAATATATTTTTAATTTATATTATATTCATATTTCATTTATATTTTATTTATATTACATATGTAATATAAATAAATATAAATTTCATTTATATTACACATTTAATATGTAAATTATATATCTACATTTTTCTTAGTTTTAACGTTAATTAATTTATTAATTAATTTATATTTCATTTATACACTGACATCAAAATGTTGCAATCGCATGTCTCAAGATGACTGATTGCGAATCTACGTTTGTTTTTAGTTCGTAAAAATTTTCCTTTAACACGGTTAATAGGGTCTAAGAAATTCTTTTCTGTATATATGGGGTGTACCCAGCCCATTCAATAGTAAAATGCGAACAACGGTATATGGTATTTACCGGCCAAAATACAGCTCTCTCCCCGTTATGTACCGTTACGACGACGTCGATTCTTAAAAATCACAAAAAAGAACACGACTGACATTTGAGACTTATCTCGAGCTCGCCGCATGAGACCCTTCATACCCCCTACCAGTTTCTTTAGTAGAATCCTCGGCGAGGGTCCACCCTCCAACAACAGTAAAGACGAACCATTACGGTCAAAATTAGAGGGTTTGATCCCAGTCGAGTGTTCGCACTTCGAAAAATGAAAAAAAATATACTTTTCTACGCGCGAACATTTTAACCATCCCTAAGCGCAGTGAGAGCCTTTAAAAGACCAGGTGCGCCATACAAGTTTCACATTTTTTTTTCAAACCCACGACAACATACAATGAACCGAACTGACACAGGTCAAGCCTTTCGTAACGCGCGTGTTTGCCCTGAAATTATCAAATCCATAACTTCCGACACGTAAAAACGAAAACACTTCTCGGCATCACTCGCCGTGTCATGGTATGTTCCAGCCGAAATTCAATGAATTCTTTTCATACCCGGACGAGCTAATTTTA